ATATAAATAATGTTTGGCAACCGTTGATGGACAAATCCTAGTTCTTCGATGAATCTTACATAACAAATCTTAGACCACAAACGCTCGACATCACAATAAATTACGTCTGTATTTTAAAGAGAGGATGCTATGAAAGTTGGTATAGTGGTATAATTGTATCACTGGAGTACAAAATAGTTATAAATAACTATTTCTCCGATCAAATAGTTTCGTTCTTATTTTTATCCAGCTGGGCAACGTGCTGGTTGGATTTCACTTGCATTGCAGCAGAAATGTCCAGTGGAGAGAACAAGCAAAATTGCTTTTCACGCTACTTATGAGTAGTCACGAAATAAACAGAAAATCTGCACCGCGGCAATCCAATACCAGATAAGTGAGCAGTAGAACCCTGAGATCTATGAACAGCTTNGTAAGTGATGATGATTCACTCTTATCGAGCGGTGTGTGGTCGGTTAACCTTCCTCCTGGGTCTCTGAATACTGAGCAAATCAGTGTTTTACTGACCAGCACTTCGGTCTATGTTTACTTTGTAAATAGATTAACCAGGACAATCAACCGGTTCTAGTTTAATAGCCAGGAATAATCAAACCAATAAATAGCATCATATATAACTGATTATAAAAAGTAACGGTAAGGAAAGTAGTGCTCACTAGAAGTTCCTCCCATGAGACCCAGTTTCATAGTATAATGTGTATGAATGGGAGTTACCGAAAATCAGCATTTATTCGTTTATTCGTGTATTCGTCTTCTTCAAGCGCGTACGTTTGCACGGCACTTGATCGCTAAACCGTAAAGGCCTAAACTTAGCTGAAGCGAATGAGAAATCAAAAATTATTTGATCTACAGCCGTTTCAAACGCCGTCAATGACGCGCTCCAAATCTGGTGCCTAGAATAGTTGCTGTTACCCGAATCAACATCATATACATTCCAATGGGACGATCTGCAGTTCTCTAATCCAATCTCAAGGACTCCGAACTCGAACACATCTCGCAGAGCTACCACAACCACGTTGTATTCAATGCTTCAAAAACTTTCCTTTCAATTTCTGTGGACACTTATTCCTTGATTTTCCCAACTGTGTTTCATGGTCTCTCTTCCTCTACTTGGATCTTTCATAACCTTTTTGCTACGTTGCATACGTAGAACTGAAACTTGGCTTTCGAACTAGCCTCGTGCACCGTTTTAGAGATACTTGTACCAAAACACTTTTTCATTACACGAAAGTGAATACAGTAAAAGGGGTAAACCCAATGATTCGAAGATATACTGTATGTGGGAAGGTAAGGGAAACATTCAAGCTAGAACCAGCTTGTCGATTCTGCGTGTAAAGGCTAGAATGTTGTACGTTGGAGGGAAGACCGAAAGGCGGTGTTCCACAGTCATGCTGTCCTTAGGAAAAAGATGACTAAAAGTTAGAAATGCGACACCTGAGGATAGTCACTTGAAATGGGTGGCTAGCTGCTTGTGCGCGAGATCTACGAGAAAGAGCAAGCGGGAGAGGGACAGAAGCGGAAAGTTCATCAGAGTAAAATCGAAAGTAGTTTCGATAGAATAAGGATAAAGAAGCGACTGCCCGAGGGTGAGCTAGTGATTGCAAGTTGCATGTTAAGGACGGGCCGTTGATGAGACGGATGGTCTTACGTTGAACCCGATCAAGAAGAAGAGGTGGATGAAGCTCCACCCCATCTTTCGTACTCGTCAGTGAGTATTTTTTTTATTACACACTTTCGTGTGATGAACAGCAGACGGGGTAAGCGCCCTAGTCACTAGGACATGCTGTTCAGTGGTGGAAACCGGTAACTTACGTTCCGGGACTTGGAGTGGGGTGAACCACATACGCCCCGATAGGTTATGTGTGGTATTGAACCGGACGACAGCAAAGCTGCCTAACACTAATCATAATCAGGTCACAATGAAGCCCAGAGAAATTAACTTCAATGATCATCAGATTCGATACATTCAGGTGCAGCAGACACAGTTGAAACACTCTGATACACGTGCACTGACCATAAAGAAAATGAGTTTAACCAACATCACTCAACTTTTCAGTGGGGCCATACTATGTTAACTTTCTGTCACATGCGATTGGCGTGCGCGAAAGAATCAAGATTGTTTTACACCTAGTCGAGGTTTCTTTTGAGGTAGTCAAGAGGTTTGGACTGCAACCACTGAGGTAATCCTGGTCATAAGGTTTGAGATTCGAATACTGCCGTTGCTATTAAATTTTGGTAGGAGGCAAATTTGCCGAAGTCTAACTAGATGTCACGCTTATCGTAATGGGGTTCGTTACTTCAGCTCCCTAGAATTAGCTCGCCGGTTACCGTGATCGAACCTGGTGACTGCTGGGTTCACTTTTTCAGTTGTCCAGTAAATCAAGACGTGTAATAAAGACACTTCGTAGACCCACAATTTGTCCATTTAACTCTTTAAACCGCCGACAACTCAGCTGATGCAGTAGTTTGCGCTGTCTTCCACAGGAGGCCATTTGAAGGAAGATACACTTTTATGCACCCGAAAAAAGAAACGAAGCAGCGTTTTATCTCAGAACTTTACTCATTCAAGTGTACAAAAATAGTAGTATTTGGCATATTCAAAGTTACCAGAATATGGAACGAATATTTGTTAAATCCTCGAAGTCTGAGACACGACAAAGGAGCTAAAACCGAAGACGGTTGAGTACATAACTAGTAACTTGGAACCATGAACACAGTATGAATTTGAAATTGAGTGTCCCTAGAAAGATGACGTATGGTTTAAGTAAATTCCCTGAGAAAGTGGAACTAATTCGGTGAGTGCTAATTAATGATGGGATTTGGCACCTGGATCCTAAGCCGACAGCATCGATTTAACTTAATTAGAAAGATACAGACAATGTCAAATTACCCGGTCATCGTTTTGACAATCAATCGCATCCTTCAATTTCTCAAGATCTTCCATTGCTTCATTCCAATTCTGCACCAGGATTTCGCTGGCCAAACGCCCCCAACAAGCGTCCAAATGGCGTTTACTTCCCGGAGTTACAAGTTGCCGAACGATCCGGAGATACTCAGAAGTTGTATTGTAATTGCCGATATCGTAAAAAACCTTTAAAAAAGAGTGCTAAGTTTTAACTGACAAGTGGTAAGAACAGTTTAAGCGGGACGAATGCATGGTGAGGATAGATACCGTAATTTAACATTTTCAACATATTTACTCAAACTTAACTTGATGGATTAAATTACATCAACCTAACAATGAATTCTTTCACTTTCCTAGTGTAAGAACAGACGATGGATGAAAGCCATAGTGATTGTTATGATTACATCATTGTAAATCAATGATAGACAGAAAAGTATATATTAGTAAGTGAAAAAACAACCACTCTGCACTATAGAAATCAGCCACGCGTCAAAGAGGCAGTTGCTTGAGTTATATGAAACCAGTATTTATCAACGTCATATAGCTTGCGCAAGATGAATTCAACATGCAGCAATAGTCTGTATCCTCCTGGGGTATTTTATTACTTCCGAATTGAGTCCACCGAGTTCGTGAAGTCAGCATTGGTTGAGTTTCTAATTGCATCCTGGCAAAAGTCCCAACAAAAGTTAGACTCGTTTAAATACAAAAAGGTATATTTCTAAATACCTTGTGACCGCGACTGTTGTTAGGTAATAGTATGAATACCACCCAGAAATTCTTATGACCTGAGTGGCATACCGGCGAATAGAAAAGGAATCGCTTTTCGAATTAAAAACCACTAAACTGGGGAATCCAGTTGTTGCGTCAGTCGCGCAACCTATCCAATGACCTAAACCATCTGCATGCAATTTTGTTATACTATCCACGTTTATAGCTGGCCGCCGAAAAGAGTATTAATGCGGAAAATGCGCTGCCGATAGCTTTGTAAATTCTACTTCTGATCTGCAGATGGTACAACAGTTGTTTTTACAGCCATTAACCATGCATTTTCATGCACCGGTTTTGGTTGATGTCCTTTAGCTGCCCGTTTGGATAAAAAACAGAATGAGGATTGGAATGTTGAGAGTAAACTCAAGATAGAGATTTCATGTGAACTGGGATCACAAGAATATTGAGTAGATGCATGATCATCATCATCATCGTCGTCGTACAGCGAAATACAGTGAGGTGAACTTCACTGATCGCTGCCAAACTCGCAATGTACACAAGGTTAGTGGTAAAATTTAAGATGGATAGGGAGTGGATCTACTCTTATGGAGGAGGAAGGAAAGCCACTATGGTACGCAATCGAACTCTGCATACATACCGTTTCAAGCATTCTAACCTGATAAGAAACGACAACAATAACGCTACCGCTGTCGGTTTGCTTCTGCATCCTTCAACATCTCCAACCAACCGATTGTGAAGTCTTTCCGACCCCAACCTGGAAGGTGTGAGACCCCTACTCTACCTAATGGCTGTGCATTTTTTCATGCCTCGTATCCACGTCATCTTTTAACCTCCACATGATTTCCTCC